CAAAGGAAAATATAGTAATGGTTTTTATTAAGAAAGAACAAAATTTGAGGGATTCTTTAAAATTGACTACAAAATGATGTTTGGGGATATCAGAGTCGCGTAGAAAAAGTTTAAAATTTGATCCTTCCCAATAACATATATGAACAAAATAATGGTGCAAAGTTTTCTCACAAGGTACACATAACATTTGGATAAAAAGAATCTATATTTAAATAATAAAATCTTAAGATCCAACATTTTTGTCAAACAAATAACGTTACGTCTAAAATTTCGCTTGTGTCCATGTGCCTGGTTACAACCTTTGATCCCTGAAGACTCACAATCTTCCAATCTTTGCTGGTTAGATGTACCTAAATTCTAAATTCTACTGAATACGTATGTAGTTGTGAAACATATTTTAAGTATTTACTTAAAATTGATCGCAAATAATAATATGTGAAAATATTGGGTACAATCTCTAAACATGAATCAATTGATTCTTCACTTGCAATTTGAAGTCATATAATTAAAGAATTTAATTTAAAATTAAATCTCTAATCCTTCAAATATTCGAACGTTCTTCGAATCTTCGAATCTTCGTTCTTGAGATCTTCGAATCTTCGAATCTTCGTTCTTCGGATCTTCAAATCTTCTTGAATAAAGAATTCAGATTGAAGGGCCTCCGGTTTTCAAGTGGCTTGATCTTCAACAAAAGGGCCGTTTTATGGCTTAATCTTCTGTTTAAGGGCCTCCCGGGATACATGGCTTGATCTTCAATTGAATTTTGATTCAATCTTCATATGAATATCTTCAAATCTTCAAAGATTCGTTCGTCATATCTTCGAATCTTCAAAGCTTCGTTCTTCAGATCTTCGAATCTTCAAGCTTCGTTCTTCAGATCTCCGAATGTTCTTCAACTTTTGGCTTTGTTTGATCAAGAATAGATGAAAATCACAAAGGATTAATCATATATTCTTGACAAAAACGGATAGCAAATATAATATCATCAACATAAATTTGTACTAACAGAATACGGATAGCAACAGTAATCTGAAATAAGGTTTTGTCAACCTTTCCTTTCGTAAACCCATGGTTCACTAAGAATAGGGACAATGTGTCATACTAGGCTCTAGGAGCTTGCTTAAGATGTCACGCCCCAGACCGCAATCCAAGCGCGTGTACAACCGCCGTATAACTTATAAGTGACGTCACCCACGAGTCAACCTCACTTAATTACACAAGGCGTTCGAGGAAACAATCCATCCATACTCAGTAGTAAACATACATAACAACATCACATTTAAACCAATGAATAGCGGAAATATTCAACGGTAAGTCATGAGCCACAACCGGCCAACAACATGGGCATGCAAGCCCCAAAAATAGTTTATAGTAAAACAAATATCCATGAGCAAGTGTTCGGTAGTTTGAAAGAAAATAAGGAAGCACGAACCACGTCTTCCTGATATGATATCACCCGTGAGAAAGTGCAAGTAGCAAGCCCTAGCTTCAACCTGAAAATGGTGGGCCCCCCCGAAGGGGTTAGTACAAGTACCGAGCGAGTAGCAGGCTAAATATAGAATAACTAGCGTTTCAAGTATAAGACCCAAACATAGGGTGATACTTAAATAAATAGTCTTTCCCCCAAGTTATGAAATACTTATTAGTATATATATACACTTGGAAAATATCTGATCCGTAGATCACCGTTTTATTTGGGAAAAATAGTAATAGTCAATATTCTTGACTAAAAACCCCAACCCACCCATATACCTATGAGTGTATAGGACTCCTCCTTGTCCCTATTTCAATATCATAATCTATGAGTTTTGAGGATCATAATCCTTGGGTACTCCACCGGTTTGTGAGTGTTAAGGACTCATAAGTCCTAGGGTCCTCCACCAAGTTTTGAGTGTTAAGTACTTTTAAGTACTAGGGTCCTCCACCAAGTTTGAGTGTTAAGGACTTTTAAGTCCTAGGGTCCTCCACCAAGTTTTGAGTGTTAAGGACTTTTAAGTCCTAGGGTCCTCCACCAAATTTTGAGTGTTAAGTACTTTTAAGTACTAGGGTCCTCCACCAAGTTTTGAGTGTTAAGTACTTTTAAGTACTAGGGTCCTCCACCAAATTTTGAGTGTTAAGTACTTTTAAGTACTAGGGTCCTCCACCAAATTTTCCTATGATCAACCTCCTATCAACCTAGATAGAGTCTATATCATACTTAGTCATTCATAACTAGTTCAATACATAAAGCTTATGTATCACAATCCATGCAAAGCCATGCAATTATATAAATGTACAATTAACTAATATCAACCGATATTAATTAATCCATTATCCATCGGTCAACGTTGTCGTTGACCGCCATTCAAGCCTTGTACATATCAACTTAATCATCATATAATTAAGTTAATAATAATCATTTGTGCTTCTTTTACACTTCCAACAAATATGCATTTCATATTATTTCTCATATCATATTTCATGTATAAACAATTAATTCCTTCCATACAAACTTATCTATGTTGGCTAATCACATGTTTAAATATCTTTTAAACATCATTATGAACACATATAACATTTACTTAGGTAATATTATAATTAACCCAAAATTTATAAGATATTAAGCCATCCACTCACCTTGAACTAGCGTTATGAAGTTCTACCCTTCTTGGTTGAACTCCGGTGTAACTCCGGCGACTTTTGGTCAACTCCGGCGACAACTCCGGAGACTTTTCCAACTTTGTGAAACCACTTGAAATACCCTTTACAAGTGCCTAACAAGGTTTTATAATCATAAAACCCATGTTAATACAAATAACCTCAAAAAGGTTATTTTCCGGTGAACCGGTCGTTTTGGCTTCTAAGTCCGTTCTTGGACATAGAATCACTTTCCAACCCATAAGTCCATACTTATAACATGTAGAACCCTCTTAAGGATCCTTCACATGATATATATCTTATATGGTAGAAGAAAAATAAAGGAAAAGTTATAATAAGGTCATTACCTTAATTAATCACACTTTTCCCAACTTTTTCCTTCTTTAATCTTCCTCCTTGGACTACTTTAGGTTGAGCTCAAATCTTAAGCTATGGGGATGGTTTTCAGAGCTCTTTCCTTCCTCCTTTTTCTTGGTTGGTCGAGCATGATAGATGAAAGAGGGTGGAGAGGTGGTTTTTGTCTCCTTTAGCCAATGAGTGGATGGAAAGGGGTCCATTAGCTTTCAACCATGTTCCCCCCATCCTATCATCCATCCTTCATGTGTCCTTATGGCTCTAATTAGTCAACTCTTGCACATAAAAACGTGGGGTGGCCCCCACTCATGTGGGAGGTCATCCCTTTGTGTCCCGGTGTGTACAATCGGTCCCGAAAGTTGTATTTTTCGGACTGTTTTAATCATATTTTATTTTATCGGGTAAAATAAAATATATTGTGTGCTCTTACTCATTATGACATTTATAATGAATATACATTCCTCATTTTTAATTTATAAGCCTCCGAAATTCAGTTCGGGCTGTTATCTGTTAAATTACCAGTACCGGTAATTTGGGTCTCTTTTGACCAATCGGTCAACTCTGGGCCTTTCCATGGCCCAAATGAAATATCCACCACTATATATTTATAATCTAGACCAAGATGAATAAAATATATGGTCTCGGGAATGTCGGGCGGCCCCCGCTTCCAGGGTGGGTCCCACGTGCAATTTACTATTCACGCGAAAGAAATAATAAAAATTTACAACTTCATAAATTCATTAATCCTTTAATACGGTTCAATACATTATTTACATAAAAGTAAATATATTTGGGGACGGTGTTACATAAGACGGGTCTTTGTAAGCTTGTAGACACAAGAGGATTGAGTAGGAATGATAAAACATGGGGGGTGTTCCACATAGACTTCTTCTTCAAGATCTCCATTCAGAAATGCACATTTGACATCCATCTTGTAGACCTTGATGTTGTTGTTGGCAGCATATGCTAGGAAAATTCTGATTGCTTCCAATCTTGCAACTGGCGCAAAGGTCTCATCAAAATCAATGCCTTCCTCTTGGCAGTATCCTTTTGCTACCAGTCTTGCTTTATTCCTTACAAGTTTCCTTCTTCATCTGCTTTGTTCTTGAATACACATTTGGTTCCAATGACATTCTAATGCTTTGGTCTTGGAACAAGTTCCCATACTTGATTCCTTTCAAATTGTGTGAGCTCTTCTTGCATTGCATTGATCCAGTCAGAATCTTCTAGAGCTTCTTCAACACTCATTGGTTCCACTTGAGATATGCAGCATGTGAACATGGCTTCCCTTCTGGATATGGATGATCTGGTTTGGACACCACTAGTGTGACACTCCTAAAATTTAATAAAAAGTATTTAATATAAACTAACACATGATAACTGTTAATTGTATGGGTGGATAATTTTCTTAACATATGCTTCGGGGACGAAGCATCTCTTAAGGAGGGTAGAATGTGACACTCCGTAAACTTAATAAAAAGAATTTAGTATTAACTAAGATGTGGTATTCATTTGTGGATAAATTTTTTTTAGTTTATGTTTCGGGATGAAACATCTTTTAAGGAGGGTAGAATGTGACACTCCATAAATTTAATAAAAAAGAATTTAATATTAACTAAGATGTGGTATTCATTTGTGGATAAATTTTCTTTTGATACGAGTGGTCCGGTAGAATCCGATTTTGGCCCAATAAATTCAAAAGAGGCCCAGTAACGTGGATAATAGTCCAACAGCATTTAAATCAGTTTAATAATATTATGGCCTATCATAGAATGGTAAGTCCAAAATATTAAATAATTTTCAATATCCACAAATGCCCCTCGAGACTTGTTTGAATATTCAGATCGAAGGAAAAGTAAGTCTCGAAAATAATATTCCATATTCACCTCATCTTTCGGAAATACTTCTCAATGCTTAATATAATTTCAAGCAAAATGATTGGCTTAAATCATTTATTCTCACTAGCTTGAAATATAGTCGCTCTTCATCGTTCATAGCAAATATAACCCAAGTACGAATAATGAGCAAGCCCACATAATCATCAGCAAAATTATTTCCACGTATATTTCCCAAACATGAATCAAACATTGATCCCTCCTCTAACTCAAAATATCTCATCCTTGCAAAAATATCTCAACCAAGCAACTTACGGTTGTCAAACTAAAGTCCTAGTAGAACTCTCATCACCGCCTTTAAACACTAGTATACTCCCAACTGAATTCTTTCTCTTGGCGTGGGATCCCGATTCATTATCGATTATAAATAGGGGCAACATCAACCTGTAAGGCACTCTATTTATAATTCCGCATCAAATTCTAAAATTCGATCAGCAACTCCATAGTCCATAGAGCAAGGAAGGGCCGCATAAGGTAATCTTCTGTCATCATTTTTTTTATTCTTCCTTCTTTCAGTGTTTTGCAGGGGAAATTCATAGGAAGAAACACCTACCACACCAAATTTACCTCATCCGGTGGACAACGATCAACATCTGTTCTGCCGCCAGATTCTTCCGCGGCTGTAGTGGTCTGTTCTTGTTCTGGCAGCTAATTCAGATCAGAGCTTGAAAGCTAGTTGGTTTTGGAAGCTAGTTGGTGTTTTGGAAGCTAGTTGGTGTCGTTGTTGGAGGAACCTGCCGCTGTACACGAGAGCTAGTTGGTGTTTGGCAGATTGCTGGTGTCGGATGCTGCGGAAGCTAGTCGGTGTTGAAAGCTAGTTGGTGCCATCGTTGAAGGAATTAGCCGCTGTACACGAGAGCTAGTTGGTGTTTGGCGGATTGCTGGTGATCTTTTGGTGGTGTTGCTCGCTGGAGAAGATGATGGGGCTGATTTTGTTGCCGGTCCGAAGAAAAAACCTGGCTGAATTTGACGCTGATTTCTGGCGAGGAGAAGAAACTGCAGCAGACTTTTCTTTCCTGCAGATTGCCGACGAGAGCTCGGTCGATTGCTGCGGATGCTGCCAATTTCTTCCAGATTCACCTCGTCGCTCTTGCCCCATTGTAGTTCGAAAATCCGTCTTCGCCGAAGAAGATGACATGGCTGATTTTCATTGCTGGCGCCGTTCATGGCTCGCTGGAGAGAAGATACTGTTTCGCGCTTATGTCTGCCGTCAAGCTCGATCGATTTTGCCGTTGCACGAGGATGTTCTGCAGCGATCCCTCTTCTGATTGTGAGCGACGGACCGAAGGAGGGTTTTTTCGATTTCTCTGCTGTTCGTCGGAGAAGAAGGTTGGAGGATAAAGAATCTCAGGCCTTCTGGTCCCTGCGTGAGGGGGAGATGCCTTGGAGTTGCTTAGCTGGATGGAGTGATTAAAAACTTTGGGCCATGTGAATTTATATCGGGCCTTTTTATTTCCATTTTAAAATCTTCGGGCCATGCGGCTATATTTCCTTTTAGAAACAAAGCAACCCCCTGTTTTTTTAATCCTCTCCCTTTTGAGACTTGGGCTTTCTTTGTCAAATAAGGAGACCCGATTTCTTGCGGTTTCAAGTGATTTGCTCATGGCACCATTAATTGAAGAGGACGATTTTTGACTGATTGCCGGCTGCCAGTGCCGCTTGGGACCCTTTATTGGGTTGGTGGAACCGTTCTAAAGAATTAGGCCGATTTTCGCTCGTCGGTGCTGTTTGGGGCCCTTTGTTGGGTTGGTAGCACCGATCTGAAGAATTAGGCCAATTTTCGATCGACGGTGCTGCTTGGGGCCCTTGTTGGGTTAGTGGCAACGATATAGAGAATTAGGCTGATTTTCGCTCGTCGGTGCTGCTTGGGGCCCTTTGTTGGGTTGGTGGCACCGATATAAAGAACTTTGTTTTAGTCATGTGAATACAAAGCCCTACCGATGTCATTTATGAAGGGCGACTATTTCGCTATTTAAAGAAGAGCGGCTACTTCGCCGTTGATGAAGGGAGGCCATTCTGCCGTGTATGCAGGGCAACCATTTTGCCGTTTATGAAGGGCGTCTATTTTCCCGTTTATGAAGGCAGGAACGCCGCCACTTGCAACATCATTGAGACAATGGCTCTGATAGAAGATGACGTTCAAACCTCAATTCAATCAATTTTCGGTGAGGAAGAGACCTTAAAATTCCACTTCTTAATATGACTTTGAACTTGAGGAGATTGCAAACATTTTTCATGATCCTTTTACTGATATTCTCCCTTAAAAAAACTTAATTGGGGTTTGTGTTGTTATGACTAAACTAAAAAATGATACTCTTGAGCTGCCTACGTACTCCTATGAAGGAGATCAAGTCAAACGTAGTTCATAAGTACCATTTGAATTGGTAATCTAGAGGGGTGGGGTGTCGTACACAGTTTTAACTCATGCGGGCCAGGAGCTTGCCGTACACATTTTAAACTCTCTTGGGCCAAGAGTATCTATGATTATGCTCACCCATAAAGAAAGTGAGATGTTTTAGCAGTTTAGCCACTTACAACATCATTGGTGGTTTAAGCGAGCCATTCAACATTTCCTATGGCCATATTTATTCCCCATATATCAAGGGTAGTAGAGCTTTAGAAACCTTCCATTGATCGGGCCAATCTTTGAGCCATCTGCGTCGACCAACTTATAGGCACCACCTGAATATACCTCTTGAACAACATAAGGACCATCCCATTTAGGCGAGAACTTGTGTCCAGTTTTCCTTGTAATAATGATAGGTCTTCGCACGGCTAGAACTTTATCACCAACTTGGAAGGAACGAATTCTAATTCTCTTGTTAAAAGATTTTGACAAACGTGCTTGATAGCATTCTAGATTCTGCTGAGATTCTAACCTCTTTCCATCAAGTGCCTCAAGTTCTGTCAATCGCATCTTGATATTTTCTTCATCAGTGAGCCCTTCTTGAATAGCTAACCTCAAAGATGGTATTTGGCGCTCAAGGGGAAGGACTGCTTCGGTGCCATACACCAAAGAATATGGAGTACTTTGTGTAGGTGTGCGATAAGTCGTTCTATATGCCCATAGCGCTTCTTCCATTCTTTCGTGCCAATCTTTCTTTGACCTTGACACTACTTTCTTTAACAGGTTGCACATAGTTTTGTTGAAAACTTCAACAAGTCCATTTGCAGCAGCATAGTACATAGAAGACTTCCTTTGCTTGAAGTCAAACAGCTTGCATATCTTGTCCATCAACTTGTTGTCAAAAGGTTTCCCATTATCTGTTAAAATATATCGGGGAATGCCAAAGCGATAGATGATATGAACTCGGATGAAATCAGCAACATTTTCCTTCTTCACCTCTTTCAACGCAACTGCTTCGGCCCATTTTGAGAAATAATCAGTAGCGGCCCTCCTGACGAGCTAGGCGTAATTGGTCCAACCACATCAAGTCCCCAAGCGTCAAACAGCCATGATGCTACTGTCGGATGCAAAGGCTCAGGTGCTTGATGGATAAAATTTGCGTGATATTGGCATGCTTGACATCTTCTGGCATAATCCATACAATCCTTCACCATAATCGTCCAGTAATATCCCATTCTCTTGATGTGAAAGTGCAATTTAGGACCGGACTGATGAGCTCCATATACTCCGGAATGTGCCTCTTCCATTGCTTGTAAGACTTCATCTCCACCCAAACATCTAAGGAATACACCATCGAAGGATCTTCGATAAAGTGTATCCTTATAGTAGATGAAACGTGGTGAACGCCTCTTCAAGTCTACTTTCTTGCGGGGATTTTCAGGTAACTTCCCATCAGTAAGATAATCAATGAGTGTTTGTCTCCAATCTTCATTTTCAATATCATAAACCAATGTAGTTGGCATCTCAATTATCTCTTCGGCTGCACCATCTTCTCTGATGAAAGGAGGAATTACCCATTTTTGACATACCCGTACTTGAGTTTCATCGTCAAGATGTGCCATGTTTGATGCTAACCCTGCTAGTGCATCAGCTTGCTTGTTTTCTTTTCTCAGCACATGTTCAATTGTAACTTCACCAAGCCATCCAATGAGTGCCCTTGCATATTTGTTGTAAGGATGTAGTTTAGGCTTCCTCACTTCATAGATTCCAAGCACTTGTTTGTGCATAAGACAGACGAGTGTACAAAAGGAGTACACAAAAATGTGTACACTTAGAACAACTCATATTCCTTTGGCTAACGTAACTCTTATTCTATGCATTGGAATTACGTATTGGACATCCCACTGAAGTAACAGTGGTCGGTTACATACGTATTTGGGTTATAAATCGTTTTGAACCCTTTATTTTTTTTTTTGAACGAAGCTTAATATATCATACCAAAAAGGACCAAATAGACAAACTAAACCAGGTAGCCGTGTGTCGACAAGTCCCCGTCTACCGTCCGCCCAAGGACCAGACTCTGAATTAATCACCTTCGTAGAAGCCATATAATTCGTTAATCCCGCTTTGGGCATACCTGAGCCTATGACTTGTAGACACGACACATCAGATCCTGTTTTAGTTTCCAAAGTATTCTGGCTGGAAAAACTCAGCACAATCAAAGCAAAAACAACATTCAGAACGTGGAAAATAAACAAAACACAATAACTAGAATAAAAAAGTTCTTTAGCTAAAAAAGTGGTAATCAGCATCAGGTCCTCTGGCGGGGTTGGAGACCAACACCCGCCCCATCCCCGTTTTTTGGAGAGTCCAGCGCCATAGCGTCCAATCCAGCCCCCTCCCTCGCCTGGTCCTCCCAAGTGCGCCTTTTCTTCAGCTCTCCGATCATTCCTTCCTCCTTGAGCTCTCCTGAGGCCGCCCCCTTTCCCACATCCGCCTTAGAGCTCTCCCCCATCTCCGTCGGGGCCCACTCCTGCCCTGATGTCACCAAATTAGACAAGTGCAGGTCATCACCAGAGGAACTTCCTTCCGTTATCGGCCACTTGCTTCCCAACTCAGATTTCAAACTCCTGCCACTCGCCCTAAGCCACGGCCCAAATGGTTTGGTCATAGCTTGTCCCTCCTTTTCATACAGCAGGGGGCAGAATTTCTCTGCATGGCCAATCATACCACAGCAAAAACAGAAACTTGGTAGCTTTTCATATTTAAAGTCTACCCAGTGCCCTTCACCCTTACTTTTCCTAGAGTAGTTCCAACCTTTAAGGCTTTACCAGTGCTCATACGAACTCTCACACGCATATAAGCCTCCTTTTTACTATTAAATTTTTGTTCATCCCATGTGATAAACTCCCCCAGATAGTTCCCTATTCTCTTGTTGTACCCAAATTTTCAAAACTATACGGCACATTATGGATCTGTACCCATATCTCAAATTCATCTAGCACCATTTTAGACGGGATATCACCCGGTTGAACAGCTTTTAGCACAAGCAAACTTTGATCAAACAGCCATGGTCCATTTTCCAGGACCTGATTCATATCAACAGAATGAAAAAACTTAAACAGATACCTACGTTCTCCAAGTTCTTGTATAGCAATACCTTTGCCCGGGTGCCATAGATCAACCATGAAGCCTCGGAAGAACGGGAATCGGATGACTTTGTCTGTGAGAATCCTCCCAACGACTGGATATTCTTTTGCCTTTGCTGCCCCAGCCATCGTGTCCCCTTCCTCTTCATCATCTATCAGCAATTCATCACCCAAACCCCCCAAGTCCCATACCTCTGTATTTAGTCGCGATCTCCCCTATCTGTTTGTCCACCTGGTCGCGAACTTCTTCGCGCACGGCATCCCCATCATCCTCCATCGCTCCGCACTTGTCTTCTAGAACTCACCTCACGATGCTGCTGGGTTGCAAATACTCGGCGCCGCACACAGACGGCGAAAGGAACAACCCTCAGCGCCTCGCGCTAGGGTAAAACTTCTACTCGTATTTGAACACTTTATTATTTGTGAGGAGTATGTTGATAATTTTTCAAGTTTGATATTAATTGTTAGGGAAAATGGAAACTATTAATCCAACATTTTAGCGGTCTTCTTATAATAGTCTCACTTTTTCGTCATTCATGAATAATCCAACCTTTGCTGCTTTGCAACTCATCTTCATTCACTGGCCCCTGACCGATTGATGACCTGCTATTCCAAGTTATTTTCTTTTCTTTGCAAAATATTATCTTTGTGAAAGGTGAGATTTATGGTACTCCCTCCGTCCCATTAGAAGGTTCCCACTTTCCTTTTTTGGACGTCCCATATAAGGGTTCACATTTCCATTTTAGGAAACAATTAACAATCTTAAGTGACAAATTAATCATTAAATATTAAAAATAATACAATACTAACTACATTATAATATATACCTATTAAAATTATTTTTCAAAATATACTCGAAGTACTTTATTTAATTATTGTCTAAATAACTGTGTCATTTTGCTATGGGAACCTTCCAACGGGACGGAGGTAGTATAATGGTTTGCAAAGATAAAATTATAACTTGGAATAGCAGGTCATCAATCGGTCAGGGACCGGTGAATAAAGATGAGGTGTAAAGGTTGGATTATTCATGATTAACGAAAAGGTGAGACTATTGTAAGAAGACCGCTAAAGGGTTGGATTATTAGCTTAGTTTCCATTTTCCCTAATTGCTATTGATGTTTTTTGCTATATAAACTCATCTTATTTCATTTGAAGGATTTTTTTAAGATTTATTTTAGTTTTGTTTTAATTAATCTATTATTTTCTTAATTTAAAAATTATATTTTTATTATATAATTATAATATCAACATTACCACTATTTGCACTACTCAAAAATTATAAATGTATATTCATGTCCTTTGCGTCTTTTTACACTCAAACAGTTATTTCATAACAACTTATTTTACCAAACATTTAATATCAAGAAGCAACATAATCATACAATCAAAATAGCTAACACAATCAGCTATTTTCATACCATTGACACGACCAGCTAGCGGTTAACCGCAAATTAATAGAAAACCATATTAACAAACAAATAACAAACAAATTAATAGAAAACCATATTAAAGTATGTGAAGTTGTTGGGAGATTCTAAATTAGAGGTAAGTTATTTAAATCTAACAAAATAATTGTTAAGGGGAGTTTCCAACTACAATAACAACATTCAAGTATTAATCCCAAAAGATTTTGGGGTCGGCTAATATGAATAGATTCAAGATCGATGCCAAAAAGAGAACACAGACAAGAACAAAAACAAGTATAATTGTTGTCATTGTGAAAATGTTAACTATATAAAATTAACATTACAATTTACAAATATCACTGAACCAATGCAAAATAATTCTCGTAGTCACTACATTGCAAATTGCAATTTTCATATTGGCATCCAATACTTTTATTTGACCCATGATTTTCATTATTAGTGTATATATACTTTGAGTATTGAAGGAATTTATTTACCAAGAGTATAGATAATTTGTAAATTTGTTTACATATTAACAAAGTAACTATTTGAATCTAAGTCCCGTGGGTCAGAGATGGCCTTGACACCACTTGCCAGAAATTGGCCTTCAAAATCAGCACAAAAGGTGCTATTTTCAAAAAAGTAAAAAGAAATAAATAAAGCAATCCAACACAGATCAAATGGCTAACTAATTCTTCGCATTTACTCACTTATAAATCCATTTGCGAGAATAAAAATGAAGCTTTGAAAAGAGTGTTGGCAAATCATCCATTCACGCCCAGTAGGTTGAAACAAAGATATGCCATTTAGGAGGGCAATTTTGTACAATTACACGTGACTGTCAGTACTCCTAATCTCACTGAGTTAACATATAGTTGCAATATTCAAAATCAACATGCAGATTAAGAGTGTGTGGAAGAAGAAAACTTTTGCATTTACAACTCCTCATACAACATAAACCATACCGACCTCAAGAAGAGACACAGGCGGAACCTTAAGTGACACATCGGGTCCCCTGCAGTTCCTCTTGAGCAGACTATACCCAAAGTTTATGGCGAACCTCTTGAATATGGATGATCCTTGTTTGGTTCTCACGTGTGAATGTCCAAGTATGAACGCAATCCCCGCTTCCCGGGCTTCATGCAAGTCTCTTAGCTCCTCGTGCATCTGAATGTCCATCTCGAGATGCTGGTCCCCTTCCGAATCATCCACGTCAAACCTCACCTGCCTCTGAGCCCCTCCACCCGTCGGTCGCATCTCGATGACGTCTGTTATGCTCTCTACGGTTGGGAAACCAACGGATACGCTCTCTGGTTGGGCAGTATCGTCGATCTCGAAGCCGGGGAATACCATCGTCCCGATCACTGCCAACCGGCACTCGCCCGATGAAGCAGCTGACCCGGACCTGCCATCGTCGTCGGGCGAGCTGACAATCCCGTGGGTCCTGTACCAGTCATACCGAATGAAATCGGCAAGCTTCCTTACAAGCTCGGTCTCGAAGAAGTCGACGTCTTGGTGAACGTCCCGGTACCCGTACCGCACAATGCACCTGTAGGAACGGTGGGAGGCAGGTCCCACACGGCCCACGAGGTAACGCTCGGCTGGTGGGATGAACGGGACGGGGACAGCCTTCACGCAGACGAAAACGAGGACACGATGGAAGGCTGGGAGGTTGGTGACAAAACGCGAGAAGTTTGCCGGGATCCCTGAAGTCAAATCACTGAAGACGATTCCAATCCCAGGGACCCGCGCGATGCCGAGGCTGGGACCCAAAGCCAAGAGCCACTCAAGGGAGACTTTATTGTGGAGGTCATATTCATACTTCTTGATGGTGGCATAGTGCCAGACAAACATGACAGTTACCAAGATGAGGGCAAGGAGTATCGGGAGCCAAGCGCCTTCTAGAAACTTAATGACGGAGGCAGAGAAGTAGAGCAATTCGATAGAGCCGAAAAAGACAAGAAAACAGAGGGCGAGAATAGGAGGTTTGTGCCAACAAAGGATGATGACCAGTGAGGTGAGACATGTGGTTACCAGCATGACCGCCATCAATGCCAAGCCTGGAACAGATATAAGCAGATCTATATTTTTAGAAAAATTATAAATACATAAACAGACTTATTAACTGTTTTTTAGCAGCTTATCATATTTTAAAGAGATTATAGATCAATATTTAGGCTTTTGAAGCAGTATAAAGAGACAATAAGATCATGGAAGTACTCCCTCTTTGTTACACAGTGCTCAAAATTAACCAACTTAACATTCTAGCACACGTTTTTTATAAAACATTTATTGGGCTTGTAGCCAGATATTTCAGTTTTCACCAAACACTAACTTATTTAACTGTGCTGTTTAAATGATAATGAAAAGAAAGAGTGTGCAAGAGTTATTTTCATTGTCTAAAATTGGTGCAATTTATAGAAAACAACATTTCTACTTTTTTTAAGATGCTCCCTCGGGTTCTTTTTTAGTCACTTGACATTACTTTTATGCACTGTTATTAATATTTGATCACTTTCTATTAGTGATAGCTTAATCTTTCATCTTCTCTTTCCTACTTTTCACCTCGCCTTTTTCGATTGTGTCTACTGCTTGCGTGACCTCAACAATTTTACTCTTAAACTCAATGAAAACCTATGGATGCATAAAAAATTGGAAGGCGTGTTTTTACTTTTATTTATTTAAGGAAAACGTTTAGAATACCTTTTACATAATTAAGAAAATTCCACTATTTCAACCAAATATTCAATAGATTACACATTTTAGGTCTTACCATACAAAAGTCTTAGAAGCTAATCAAATATCTTCAATGCTGTTAAAAACATTACTCTGCCTAAACTGCGGTTAACTAATATATCTCCTCTTGGAACAATTAGAAATCACTTTAATTAGAGATGGAGAAGTCAAGACTAGAATGCAGTCTAGATTCTATGAAGTGGTAGATATTGTGGAACAAGAGATTATCAACCAGCAAAAGCACAAAAGCACAGTTATTGTGAAACGGAGGGAGTATCCACACAATTATATTAAGTGATTAAATTATGTATTCTGAAATTTTGAATTAAGTCATTGGGAGATACCTGAAGCATTTCCCAAATGTTTGGTGTCTCGGAAACCAATGGTGACAGCAACACAAAGGACCATAAGTATCCAATTGATCTCTGGGATGTACACCTGCCCGTGTATGTTATTGGATGTGTGAACCACCTTGACTCTTGGAAAGCAGCCCAATGAAAGACTCTGGTTGATGATAGAGAATGTCCCGCTTATGATCGCCTGGCTTCCCACAACTGAAGCTAGAATGGCTACAATAAGAACCGGCCACCTCACCCTCTCTGCATTCAACCCCAAGTTGCACAATTTCATTTCACAAAGAGTTCTCAAGATTTGAGGGTTGTCCAATTCACTGATATGACAGTATATTTCAGGAAAAAAGATACACTTCAACTTCTTTTTGAAACAATTTAATACAGAAAATATAAATTTGAAACAAATACTATCTTATATCAAGGATATATTTGTTCCAACAATTAAATAGTCTTAAATTATTTTGAGATAGAATCTGCTATCTCCACCACAAGAAAAGTGTTGTTTGTAATATTGAAATCTGTATTACATAAAAGACTGTTCGGCTGAGGAAGCGTTTCTAATAACAATGATCAGTTTTCTACTCAATTTGAAAGGTGAATAGTTTTTAGCCTGCAAGTATTAGTTGCTAGCTGAAAAGGTGATACCACTCACACAAGGTTTTGTGTAATTGTTTTGGAGAGTACAACAGTTAAGAGTACGAATAGTTGGTGATATAAAGTAATTGAATGTAGAAATTAATACCGGGAACTGACAAATAGAAACTGATTTCATGCATGTTGTGGTGATGCATTGATAAATAGGCTGCTTGACCCATATATCCCAGAATGAGTGCTGGATAAACCAGAAAGGTGAATGCAGTCTGGAGCAGGGAAAGATGAAGTTAGAACAATTCCACAAAAAAATTAAATTACATTTTACAAAAGAAAAATGAGAAAAAATACCTGAATTGCAGCATATGAGAAGTGGCCAAGGTCAGCAAACATTGCTTCTGCTCCTGCAATATTGCAAAACAAAGAAAAAGGGTTTCATGGAACACGGAAAATGCTAAGAAAAGAAAATATTGAGGAGAATAAAACATTGAGTCACTCAATACATAAGTTTTATTTTAGTTCAAATTCTTGTGTTTTGTATTATAAAAATACTAAGAAACAATAACATATTTAAAAACATTCCATTTTCCTTTATACTTTCTGAGGCAAAACAAAACACAAGAAAATAATTTTCCTTTGGCGTTTTGTTTCCATCTTACTTTTTCCAGGATCCAAACATTGGCTTAACAGAGGGTAAATTTGAAGGAAAACTATGAAAAAGAAGCAAAAAGAAGGTTCAAACTCAATTAAATAAATATAGATTCTTATTCAAACTAATTAGTAATGATGCATTCCTATTTTATTATGACTCAGAAATATAAATATGTACTAAATTATAAAGTTTAGTCCAATTTGGTTTTTTCCCACATTTACCAAGGTATAATCAAACATTAAAAAGACTATTTCCTTGGTAATTTTTCCCTTTCCCTGCCATTTTGCGCAATCCAAACATAGCCAGAACTTATCTGGAAAATGACTTCTCAATCCGCATTCTAAAAGCATGAAATCAATAACTTCAAACAGCTTTGCTTTTTCTGATTTGCGGGTCAAACATTATTAAATTATATATACAGTTAGCATATTTTCCGAAGTTACACAATATTCAGCTCAAGATATTCCAGCCAGTTAAAGATCCTAAAGATATTCAAGCATGTTAGAGATATCCAAGCTAGTTGACAATTGGCAATAAATTACACTTCCATATGTTCCACAGAATGTAGTACTCTATAACATGTGAACATCCGAGTCTTGAATATATTACCTGTTATGCACAAGAGAATTCCACCCAATGACATCCATCCACCTTCTCTAGTCTTTTTCAAGAACTTGAACATGTAATATGGGGAAAGTGCTTTGTAAACATGTGGATTCCATTGGAAGATATTGTACAACCCAAGTGTGCTTATGCAGAACAACCACGATAGCACAATTGGTGCAAAGAAAAAGCCTATTCGATGTGTGCCATAATGTTGCAATGCAAATAGGCACACTAATATGAAGCAAGTTATAGGCACGACCGCATCTGAAAAATGTAAAAGTCCCGTATTTGATTAATAAGGTTGGGACATCAATATAAAGTAAACTAGGTGCGTAAATAGGGGAGCGATCGTAGCCTTGATTACCCAAGTTCCGTAAAAGCTTTTTGTGTGTGAATATTATATGGATACATTTTTTCCCCAGGTTCAATTCAATATTTGGGATCTTGTTTACGCCAGTAACGTAAACCATGACCAGTCTTTGATATCATTTTGAGTTTAAATATACGCTATAAGACAAATGACATATCAGTGTCAGAGTATAAGTCTAAAGTCTAAAACATAGACAATAAGGCTCAAGCTTGTATCACATTGTCGGTGAGATTCAACTTGATCATCTATAGTAAGTTTTGCAACTTCATAAAGGCATCTGTATCATTTTCTTTTATCTTCTCCATGATGACGTTATCATTATGTTATGTGGGATGGAATTGCAATAAATTGAAAAAATAGGACTCTAAATTAAGAAACCCATAACAATTAAGGGGTCAAAATAGCAATTATCCCTAGATAAAACCACAAATAAGAGACTCTCGCAAATCTCCTAATTCCCAATTTTTTTTTATCCTAAACATGAGCATGAAACGTAATTCCCAGGAATCAGAAGCCATTCCAAATATTAATTATTGAAGAACTCAGTTCCTAACAGGCAGAAAAATCACATAAAGAGAGACACACTTAAACAACAACAACAACAACAACATCCAAGCCTTAGTCCTAAAAGATATTGGGGTCGACTAACATGAATCGATACATGATATCACCACCAAAAGGAAAAGAGAGACACACTTGTTGAGAAATAAAAATCTTACATTGGTGGTGATCCTTGGACATGAAGAACTCAAGCCCAGAAACCGCAGAGAAAACTACAGAACATTATCATTTTGCATCAGTCGCAACACAAAAGAAAAGGAAAAAAGGATACTCCATTCTACATAAATAATTAAATAAACAAAAAATAGTACCAGATATGGCTGGAGTAAGCAATCCATCTCCAATGACCATACAAGTGCCGATGAGCACCAAGATGAGTAACCCTGTGTGCAGAAACTTGTACTTCTCAAGCACCATTTTCACCCTTGATTTATCATTCATCTCGGGAGGCTGTTCACACTTATATGTAGAAAGTGCTTCATCAGAAACTTGTCTGTTTGGAAGAACACTGACTTTTGCATGCCTACATATCAGGGAATACAGAGCAAAGGTACCACCTGCAACAACATAAAAGATTTTTTTAGAACATTTGAATTTCTATGGAATGGAGAAAGGAAAACAAATAATAAGGAAATTAGTGTTATGTTTAGTTAATTATAATTTGTTCACATGTTTGTCTTGGTGATTATATAATAGATATACATAAATAAATAAAATATGATTACCTTTTAAAATTTGTTCAACAGTTTCGATTTCAGCAGTCCATCTTTTCTTAGAATACCCAGGTTCTAAATGTATCATAAAAGCTCTAGATTTTTAAAAAATAAATAAACTGTTTTGATTTTAAAGGGAGGACATGATATTATTCAATTCAATCACTGATAAGAAAATTACCTTCTCCGTTGTCATCGGCTCGAAGTACTATAAAGACGTACTTGAATAGAGGGAGAAGAGTTAAAGTCCAGAAAACAAAAGACATGACACCAAATATTTCTTCATTAGTATCGGAGTGCTTGATGTCTTCTGCAAATGTGCTCTTGAAGACATAAAGTGGGGAAATACTGAGATCCCCATAAACTACACCAAGACTTTGATATGCTAAAAGCAGGGTAGATTTCCATCCATTTTTCTACAATAAGCAATTTAAAAAAGAACTACCATTTAATGAGTATAATATTAATGGCATCAAATTTGTAAGCAATTCTTCCGTGAAAAACAATAAATAAAAATTGGCATTGCAGTGAAACTTTTCAAGTGCTCTTCTGAAATAAACCACAATAAAAATCCATCCTCTTTCAATGTGTACGATAATAGCATCAAATTTGTAAACAGTTTCTTCTGGACTAAACAATTAAATTGTGGAACTTGAAATGGGGAAACTTTCCGAAAGTTATTCTGCAATAAACAATACATAGAATCAAAATTTCCCAAAACTTTTTTGCAAAAAAACGTAATGTGAAGAGTTCAGCACTGAACAGTAAAATTTGTATGCTATTGTGAGAAAAGTTTCAAGAAATCTTCTGCAATAAACAACAATGAAAAACAAATTCCAGTGTGTACAATAACAGCATCAAAATTGGTAAAATCTGAGTGGTAATCCTAACACAGACCTTTGTTGTGTCCCAGCACTTGGCATGGTCAAGATCCATATCTTTTCCAAAATCCTATTCTTGACAACTGGTTCAGCTTGAGAAGAAGACTGCTTTGTCAAAGGTGAATGGGATTCCCACAGAATCTTAATTTCTGCAAAGAAAATTTCCTATTTATACCTTCAAGAAAAGAAAAGGACAAAAAGGAAGACATAGTGGCCTAGTGATTCAAGAAGCCCACATGGCATATTCTATCAAATATCAATCTGGAGATTTTCCAAAATGCAGCTCAAGTAACACACTTACAGCTAACAAACCTAATTCCTTAACTCAACTCTAGCTATAGGTCACTTCAATTTCTTTCTAAGGTAGATTCCAATCTTCGATGGAATTACAAATAACCCCCTCATTTCTTGTTTCCTAACTAAATAAAAAGATCCTACATTTGAACATTACAGAATACAGAAGACTCCGGAGGATGAAGACAAGATAGAGTACAGAAATGTGTGGATAGTGAAAGCAAAGAGAAGTATTTGTGATTCAACATTTTGTCAAAACAAATCACACCAAAATAGTTTGAGCCCACAGAAATAAATGGCACTATTTTAGGACACCAAACACAATGATAGGAGGTATACATATGCATATGTATGTATATATTAATGTATATACTCAGAAGTATAGGTGTATCCCTAACTGGAGTGAGTGGACTGCCAAACTTCTACCTACCAGTGGGGAGGCTAAAAGCCTACAAGCACAAATTCAGGATAAAGACCAGCACATACATTTTTATTTTATGCTATAATAATCCAAACTGCAATATGGCAAAAAGGTATTCAACTTTTTATCCTGAAATTCAGCCAGTGCCTGCCTAAGGTTCCGTTTGGTTGCCAACTTTACCATATTCGGTCTTATCCATTGTTACCAAACGGTTTCCCTTTCTGAAAATAAGCAGATTCAGACCTTACAGGCAAATAAGTCTAACCAAACAGGCCCTAAGTCAGATTAGAACAATGGGTTCCACAAATATGAGATAGGCTGATGAAATTGACCAAGAAACTTCAAAAAAGTAACCTATTGTTATTTGATAGTGCTGGACAATCTCAAAGACAAAGATCTTCTTCCGCACTCATTCATTGGACTTGCTTTGACTCATTTTATCCCATTCAGTTGACCACCACAATTTCCGAAATACATCTATACAAAGGTTAAAACTTGTCATGAAAAATCAATAGCTTACCAGAAACTGTGAGGTGGGTTGAGCTTTATTGGAGCTCAAAACAGTGCAATAATGGCTGTTCCGTTCAAGAAGAACAAAACCCAGGAACAGAAAAGGGGGGAAAGGGGAAACATAAAAAGGAAAGGGGTTAGAAACGCATCAAGAATATCGGCAGTGAAAAAAGAAGCATGGATGAGGAGTAGAAGAAGTGTGGAGAGTATACATTCTTTACTGAAGGAGTTCCACGTGATAAGAAGTGGGGTCCATCCTCTATTCCTCAATCACCATTGCTGGGAAGGAATGGTCCCTTTCACAATTAATCACAGCTTCAACGTTTTATTAGTTATTATTATTATTACCCCTTTCAAAATACTGTTTCTTTTTCTATCCCTCTTTGCCGCTCAAATCTCTGCAGATTTATTTATTTATTTATTGCTCTGTTTTCCTCCATGGTTAATAAAAGCTTCAAGCTTGTGCTTGTGATTCTACAGAAGTTCCGAAAGAAAGTAACAGTGCACATTCTACCCACTCAGCATTCTTTCTCACGTGGTTACTGCTTCATTGTCCCAGAATCCCAATCGTCTTTTAATTTAACGACACAAATTTATTATTGTTGTAATAAACGTGACACAAATTTATTATTGTTATTATTGTTTTTAATTCGCTGGTCTGGTCTGATCTGGTCTGGTTAGTATAGTCTGATCTGGTCTGGTTTCTTTGTATTTTTATAACTATCCAAGTCTGGTCTGGTCTGGTCTGGGACGAATTACAGTACAAGTAAAAATACCCTATGTAGTACGTAGTATTTCATTTCGTTCATTTTATCATTTTTGTTCGTCCCACAAAAATTAGTTTCGTGTTCATTTGATAACATTTAAATTGTTACAATTCATTTTTATTTTATTGATATTTTACCATTTAATAATCGTAGCACTCTATTATTGTAATTTTAGAAGGACTGAAATAGTATAGAAGAAAAACAAATCGAAAATGCATTGCTTTGTAAATTTGATGACTCATGAGTTTGGCACATTTGCCAAGTTGTAATGCCTACTTTCCAAATATTGCAACATTAATTTCTTGTAATGTTCAAAAACTCAAGTCTCCATTATTCCTTTTGGATGACTGCCACTATATTTATGGACTTCCATATTTATCAAACTGAAGTATTCATTTGCACAGTTAAATGCAAAGTCCTGACCCGAACTGTCGTGCGGAACTCACTGTTTGGAGTGTCTTTATCAAGTTCACTTTACACATACCAAATTTCATATCAAAATTCAATCGGGAAGACAGTTAACTAAATTATTGAAACATACTATGCATTATTTCGCAATATATTTAAAGAATCTATTTAACAGCTTTCCCCCGTAGAATTTTGAGCTGAAACTTGGTATACACAAACTAGACTTGACGAAGAACACGCTCAAAAAATTTTATCAAAAAGTTCCACCAAAAACCACAAACGGTGAATTTCGCATGATGGTTCCTGTTAGGAGGTCCTTAATTATATGAACTACCCTTATTAATTGAATTGCACATTCAATATGTAAAATAGAAAAACATTTGATATCTTACATTCAGCTAAATAATATCTCTCCAAGAGAGCTAGAGAAGCAAAAACCTTCTACCGAGACAAATATTCACTACGTAGTACTACGTACTTCGTATAATTTTTCATATTCAAAATAAAACACATTTATTAATTATTAGTAGACATCTATAAACGGTGCATGGTGAAAAGTAGTTAACGACTTAACGTCCTAGCTACTGTTTATAATCCCACTATTAGCGGATTTGAATGTACTACGTACTGTAATTGGTAACCTCTTTAATTTGTTGGCCTGTCCCATTTTCCATCACTTGAACATGATCCGACCTGGGAAGGTTCCTTAATTTGTGTCTAGATTCCCACCATGCATATTAATTTATTAAGACAAAAAGGATACAAAAGATGTTTGCGCTCTCCACCTATTTAGAGGCCGTTTGGAACCACTGTTTTTCGGCTTATCAGGCTTATCAGTCAGCTTTTTCACCAAACACATAACTTTTGCTTTCGCGCGTTGAATTGTGTAATAAGCAGAAAAAGTAAGGTTGGAGTTACTTTTCTGGCTGTATTGGCTGAAGTTGCTGTAGATGACCATTTTAGCTATTTTTACATATAATTTTTTCTTTATTTTATTAATAAAATATATTTTAAAAATAATTTTTTTCTTAAATCAGCAGAATCAGCCAATGCAGCCACTTCAGCCAGAACTTCATAAATTTCAGCAGAAACAGCCAAAACAGCCGATTTTCGTGCTACCAAACGGGCTCTTATATTTTTTAATAAATATAATCCATGATCATAAATTATTTATATAAATAAATGACTATTAACATAACATTAGTCAATGCTTCCACAGTTCCACGCATTTCGTCAAACTCACTAACTAGAGAATATTACGCATAATAAATTTAGTCAATGCTTTCGTGAATCTTGTCAACCTAAATAGCTAGTCCATTTTTGTACCAAGTATTATGTATTCCTTATTTGAAGGAAGCGAGTATGAGTTTTAAAAAGTGAGGTCATGGACTCTTGAATTACGATCGACAAGAAAAAGTAACAAACATTAAATGCTTAATATTCTTAAATGAGAAAATTATTATTAGCCCTGAGGTTATATCATAATTATTAATGCAACCTTGCATTTTCAAAAATCAATTAGTTACCCCCTAAGTGTTGATCATTCTCACTATATACCCCCTCATGTTAATATGTATTAAATAAAATTTAATATACTTCTTAAATTCAATGAAAGTTGTATATAAAATTAATTTCTAAAATATAAAGCAATTTATCATCATAATTATAAGTCATTGTTGATGATCATTTGCTTTTCTACCTAACTACTCAGTCGTGGAGTAACTATTAATGAGAGTATTGGTTAAGGGAAGGACCCACGAGTCATATTCATGGGATACATAAAAAGAATTGTTTATAAAATGTGTTATCAAAATTCTAGGCACTTCTTCATTATAAATATAAAAGTCTTATTTGTAATTCATTTGGTTGAATTAATCGCAATGACATTTCTTTTGTGTGTAGCAAAGAAGAAATACCAAGTTTTTTTTATCATCCCATGACCTAAAAGATAGGTTTAGTATCAATAAGGGACCTAAAAGACAAAATGCGTGATGAACTGATGATTATTCCAATTATTCCATTATCTCAATAATTGAAAGTTGAGACCTAAAATATCATAGATTTTGATTTATTTAAAATTTTTATTAACGTTGTTACTAATTTGTGATGATTATATCTTCACAATAGTTTTTTTACTGTAAAAATTTTATTAGTTTTATAAGATTAAATGATATTTAATTTTTTAAAATAGAAAATATTAAAAATTCGTGATATTTTTATATTTTACTCGTGAGTATTTTCTCTTAATTCCTCTCAACAATATTTATTCCATGATGGAGTAGTTAAGTAGAAAAATAACGATCAACAACAATGACTTATAATTATGATAATATTTGTGTTTTACATAAAATATTATTTTATAGACATTTTGCATTGAATTTAAGAATTATATTAAATTTAAATTTAACATATATTAACGTGAGGGGGCAAAGAATGAGAATGATCCAAACTCAGGGGGCAACTAATTGATTTTTGAAAATGCAAGGTTGCATTAATAATTATGATATAACCTCAGGGGGTTAATATTAAATTTCCCTTCTTAAATTACTCTTTTTTATCGTATTCTTAAATTACCCTTGAAAATTGTGGTTTGCAGTTTTGCACGCAAATTTTAGTTACGCGCGCTATTACGGGGGGCGCAAATTTCATGTCATACTCAGTAAGTAAACATACATAACAACATCACAATTTGGATTGAATAAATAGCGGAAATATTCAATAGTCAATCATAGGCCTCACATTGCCAAAACGTGGGCTCGTAGGCCCAAAACAATGTATTCATTACGTAAATATCCATGATGAGCATAGTTTATAGTTTTAAAACAGTAAAGGAAGAACGAACCATGCCTTCCTTGAATCACTTCACCGAGCAAGGGTACATATTGCAATCTTTAGCTTCAACCTGAAATGGTGGGGCCCCCAAAGGGGTCAGTACGTGGATACCGAGCAAGCAGTAGGTTGAATGTAGCACAACTAACATTTCAAGTAAACATAGGGTGTTACATACACATATATATTCCTTTCCCCTAAGTTATGAAATACATATCGGTATATATACACTTGAAAATACCCGACCCGTAGGTCATTGTTTGTTTGGGAAAGTACTAGTAATCAATATCCTCGACTTAAGATCCCAACCCACCCATATACGTATGAGTGTATATGACTCCTCCTGGTCCAATTCAAGTATCATAAGGACATTGT